ATCTCAATGGATGCTAGGAGACCACTTAATGGAGCGATTATCCATGAATTTAGGTGGGAGGGATACTATGATAAAGGTTATTGATTAGCTAATTTTTGTACTTCATGTTATCTAAAGCAACACCTAACAACTAAGCATGAGTTAGGCTTCGTGTTGTGCAACAGACCCACACAAGTTCGATCATGACATATACAAGCAATCGGAGATATATAAGATGGTTTAATACGAGAAACAATTTCCCACCCAACATGTTGTAATGCACAGAATTCACTTAAACCAGCAATCAGCCTGTTCGGTTGGCTGGTTCGTTTCGTTGCTTGTTCGTGAAGAAATACTGCTGGCTGGTTTGTGTGTGAGAAAAATACTGTTCCGGCTGAAAGTTTACGATCGTTTACGACAAGCCAAAGCCAAACGAACAGGCTGAATGGTTGATAGAGCCCAAAGGAGGATCCCTAGATTTTCTACAAGAAGAAAAAAGAGAGAGCAATAATCGTGACAAAGCCTTTTCTGCCCTTTTAAATTAAATGAGACAAAAAAAGGAGAAAATCAGCATGTTTGTTGATCGGGTGCACTGTTACGTGGATCCCCGGACCTATTCATATGATGATTTGTTTTTTTCTCCTCGAAAAAAATCATTTATGCCCAAAATTTGCATGAGCATGCATTTTTACATCATCTATCCATTAATATGTTTGGTTGATTTTGTTTCGTGCATATTTTGATTGGTTTTTTTAGAAGTGGAAGCATGTGACCATAGGAAATGTTCTCGGATTCCTAGATTTGAAGCACTTGCCCTTGCATGGGATGTTGTTCTGTTTTTGCAATTGTAAATCAGCAGCATGTGCTTTCTGGATGGGTGTTGTTACAGGCACTATAGCTCTTGTTTACTGCAGAAGTTGCAGCATTATCATGTGTTTTTTTTGTAAGACTTGCTATTTTGTGACTTTTACTTGGTTTCTGTAACGTCCCGCCTCCTCAAGGCCAGGTCCGCTTATATTTGATAGCTTTCCTAGGATATAGACTGCCCTCACAGATCAATACCAGTTTTTTCTGCGCACTTTGTCCTCACTCATGCGCCCCCAGGAAGAACTTCTCGGTCGGTCACCCATCGCTCCAGGCCAAGCACGCTTAACCTTAGAGTTCTTAAGAGATGGGCTATCAGAAAAGAAGTTGCAACTTGTTGGTATAAGTATCCTATTAATCCTATTAAGCCCTGAGCCGGGGTGTTACATCCTCACCCCCTTAGGAGACCGACGTCCTCGTCGGTCAACCCTGTGTCGAACGTCCCTCTTGGCCACGTCAGGTGTGTTCAGATCTTCAAGATGTGCTATCTTTGGGTGACCACTCTGGTCCACACCACCATGCGCACTATGCTCAAGAATCGACACACGCGCCTGCGAAACTGCGCAAGGTTGTCTCGATACCATTCTCAGAACGTCCCGCCTCCTCAAGGCCGTGCCCGCTACATCTCGATAGCTTTCTGACATAGATCGCCTCTCACACACCAACACCAAATTTTTTTTTTCTTCAAGACTTTGTCCTCACTCATGCGTCCCAGGAAGAACTTAGGCCGGTCACCATCGCCTTCGCGCCAAGACGCTTAACCTTGGAGTTCTTAAGAGATGGGCTACCAGAAAAGAAGTTGTAACTTGTTGGTATAAGTATCCTATTAATCCTATTAAGCCCTGAGCCGGGGTGCTACAGTTTCAACAAAATAAAAAAAAATGTTGCAGAGATTGCAGTTCACATTTATCCAGATGAAGCAGAATCAAATTGGTATAAACTGTCAAAAATCGAGATAGAAACTTAATAATTGCAGCTAAGGAAGATGATAGGAAAGAAGCGGATACGACCAATTAGTATATACATCATAGGCACTTACAGATTTGGTACTTACACAGCTAGAGCTATGAGATGGCTGGAAATATCACCATCCTTGGTGGTTGGATCAACAATGCAGCAGGGAAGGAGGTAAAAGAAAACTCCATTGCTAAGAGCATCCATACAAAAATGTTGAGCTATCTAAAGGACTCCAAATGGACCTGGTGAGTGGTGTTACAAGCACATGAACCATATGAAAAGAATCTTCGCATGTTCACAGTTAGTGCAGAAATCTGCGCTGTGGGCACGCTGAAAAATATCCCACATTAGGAAGTCAGGCTTTGCCAAGCAGACTAGATACCTCGTCACTACATTCTTCCTCCAAGGTTGCCTCAGGATCTGTCTCAACCAAGAAGATTCAACAACACCAAAGCCGGTGCAGTACCACGATTAGTACAAATTCTATTGCTTGTTTCTTGTATTCCTACCGTTCCAAATTATACTCTTTAGCTTTGTCCTAATTCAAACTAATTTAACTTTGACTAAGTTTTTAGAAAAATATATTAACATATACAATTTCAAATAAATGCACTATGAACTATGAAGACACGTTAGAACTTAATGAAACTAATTTGATGTTGTACATGCTGATGGATTTTTCCTATAAACTTGGCCAAAGTTGGAGAAGTTTGATTCAGGATGAAACTAAAGGAACTATACTTTGGATGAACTATAATTGGGAACACATTGAGTAATAGATAGTATGCTTCTGTATGACAATCAATAGCTGATTTCCAATAATCAAATATTCTGAAGGTTAAATCTCAATGGCTGCCATGAACTATACAGAAGGTGACACATATGCTCAAGCACTTTGATTTCAACATGCCCTGGCATAATTTTTACACAATTAGGCAATAACTAATTGCTTCCAAAGCTCTAAGGGTCCGTTTGGATGTAGATATTGGGGGAGCTAGAATTGAATTGGGTTCAATACCAAAGAAGCCATGGTATTGAAATGGGTACAATTCGAATATTATTGTTTGGATGACCATTGAATTGGCTTTTAGAATCCTAGCAAGCGGATCAAATTTGTTTTCTGTTTGGATGCAAAAGGATGGAATTGAAACGCCACCACGGCGGGCAACGACAGGAGGAGCTCCACCACGCCATGTGACGAGCTCGACCCCGGCCACAACGAGGGAGCTCGACCCCGGTCCTGGCGGGCGGATCTCGGCAGCCGCAGCCATGAGAGAGCTCGACCAACCGTGGGGAAGAATGGGACAGCGATGGGGGAGCTCGACCGGCCTTGGTGGATCTCAGCACGCAGCAGACGATGGGGAAGAATAAGGGGGCACCGATGGGGGAGCTCGACCGCCATGGGGAAGGAGGCGGCGCCGATGGGGGATCTCGGGCGCTGGTCGTCACGGGGATCTTGGGCGCTGGGCGGCCACCTCACGCGCGCTCGCGCCGCCGCCCGCCCGCCCGCCCTACGTGAGACTCGCGCCGCCGCTCGCCCTACAGGAGCTCGTGTCGCCGCCGTTCGCTCTACGGGAGCTCAGGCGCGCTCGCACCACTGCCCGTCGCCCGTTCTACGGGAGATCAGGCGCGCTCGCACCGCGGTGGCTCCTGTTTTTTCGTACGGGAAAAAAGGGTCCCGATTCTAGTGAATACGGAGGGGGAGGCCTCGGTATTGTGGGCAGGCTCGAGCAGGCGGGGCGAATATTGGGCAGTTTTGGAGCTCGTTTCCACTTGCGAATTCCAAGACCATCCAAACAACGGAATTGGGGGTATTCAATGCCAGTGCCAAATCCTGGGCCTGAATACCAACATCCAAACAGGCCCTAAAGGATAATGCTATATCAGTAACAGTCTCCTTCAAATAATGAGGAAAAATTCAATTACGTAAAGTAAAACATTCCTCATCATGAGGAGGGCCAAATGTGCTTAAACCATCAAGCAGACGAATGGAACTGCCATACTTTAACTTTGTTCAGCAGCACACAATGTCTGTACTGACAACAATGATTTACATCATCTATCGAATCTTTGCAGCCTCCTACGGCGCATCCCATCAACTGAGAGTTCCGTGCTACCCCTGGCTTGATGATGCTGTCTCCGCAAAAAGGCATGGTCCTCTCGTGCAGTGCTGCACATCTCACAGATATCCGTGGAAACTGAATTGTCATAGGTGCAGGTTGGACATCTCCAAAAACCTCGAGGGCTGTCTCTTGCTGATATGCGGCGCCCAACCCTGCCCCGACCTGTTGCGCGGCCCTGTGAACGGGCAGACCGTAGAAGATTCTGAGCAAACCTCACCGGCCAGGTCACGACATTGGCAACGCTTGAAATCAGGAGAGTGATCGGATCTGGCCCATTGAATGCACGCTTCAGCCAAAGGTAAACCAGTCCAGCAAGTATCCCACCAAGATGGCCAAGAAAGGATGTCCCAGGAATGAAAACCTGGATGAGGATCAACTCCGCCCAGGCAGCATATTTCGCTGGAATAACCATCCCGTGCAGATACACGAAATCGTCCGACCAGGCGTTCAGCACAACCTTCATGGCAAACAGAACACCAGAGAATCCAACGGCATGCTGATCATAGTACGCGGTATCGTCACCGAGCAAGAGTAAGCCTTTGGACAGCAGCAGCGTGATACCCTGTGACAGACCAAGCAGCACAGCGACCATGGAAGCAAACTCGGCACTACCCATGGATGTCTCGAGCTGAATGCCCTTCCACAGGAGGGATGTCATGTTGTAGAAGAGGTGGCTTTCACTCAGGTGATAGAACGGGGACAGGAAGAAGCGCGTCAAGTCGCCAAACTGCAAAAATGTTCACCATAATCAGTCTTGGAGCTAGGAACTGAATACAGAGCTATATGTGATAATTAGTCTTTGAGCTAGGAACTGAATGCAGAGCTATATGTGGCATATGTGGCTGGAAGATTAAGTCGACATACTGCAAGAATGTTCATCAATCATCATAATCAGTATTGGGACTTAGAACTAAATACAGAGCTATCTGTGTGGCTGAAAGATTATGCGTAATCATTGGGTGATGACGTCCTAGTCTCCTAGAACAGTTTGTGTGTCCTTACACGAACTGGAGAGTCGAATTTGGGTATAACTTTTTTGCAGAGTAAAATTTCAATGTATGAGTCGAATTTGGGCACCTCGACGATGAGCTGCGGGTTGAAGGAGACGCGCGAGAGCGAGGGCAGGACCCCGTCGAGCGCGCCGGGGCGGAGGTAGATGAGCGAGTTGGCGGCGAGCAGCGCGGCCGTGACGGGCGGGCGGGAGGCGCCCGCGCGGCCGTACTCGATGAGCACCTGCAGCGCCAGCAGGGGCAGCATCCCCCTGGACGCCTCGAGGCCGAAGCCGCGCCGCCGGGCGCTGCTCATGCCGGACCCCATCTCCGGAACGGCGGAACCGAAGCCGCGGCTGCCCTGCCCCCTTCGCACGCAAACCCTTGCGCGCTTGAAGCTGAAACCCCTCCTGCGCCTTCCTATCGCCTTGCGGGGCTTGCTGCACTGGCAAGGGAAGGATGGGCCATGGATGGCGGCGATGCAATCGAACCTTCCGGACTCCCTTTGGGCCTCGGTGGGCCTCGGCTCAACGCCAGGCAGGCATTCGGTCTCCCCGCTGGGCTCGGCGCGAGATACACGAGCTAAAACCACCTCGGCCGTGGCCCAGAAATGAAGAAGAATAGTATTTTTCTCTCACACAAAACTGGTCAGCAGTAATAATCTACGATCATATATGATCGTTTCAGCCCCAGCCGAACAGGCTGCAAGTGTTTAGGTAGGTTTTCAACGAATGTTTCATTTAGATGTTGCCTACGTTGCAATAAATATAGGCTGATTGGATCGTTTTCAAAATTTGTCATGCCAATGATTTGGCAAGCCATAATTTTAGCTAGTATTTGGTTTACTAAAAAAAATTACCAAACTCTCGTATTTGGCATGCCAAATCTATAGTAATGTTTTGCTTAACTTTTAGCTTGCCAAATCCTTGGCATGGCAAATTTTGGCTGTCAACCAAGCACGCCCTATATACACATGTTACAAACGTATGTTTTAAATATATCATGTGTTCTCATATGTATGTTGCAAATGTTTTATCTGGATGTTTTAAATGTAGATCTGGGTGTTGCATATGTTATAATGGCTATACACGCATGTTTCAAGCGCATGTTTTAAGTGTTTTATCTGTTTCAGACGTATGTTACAAGTGTTTCATCTATTTTAGACGTATGTTGCAAATATTTCATTTGGATGTTTTAAAAGTAGATCTGATGTTGCACATGTTGCTATGGCTATACACGCATGTGTCAAGCTCGTGTTTCAAGTGTTTCATCTGTTTTAGACGTATGTTGCAAATGTGTTCATTTGGATGTTTCAAAAGTAGGTCTCGGGGAAACACATGCTGCTGCTGCTAGTGCTCCGCCGTGTGTCACTGTGCGCGCCTGCTGGCTCTGCTGCTACTGGGATGCGGGCGTGTGAAACGGAGCGGGCTCGGGGTGGTCCCCGCGCGGCCTTTGGAACAGGATGGGTGCGGGCGCGAAGGAGCAGGGTGTGTCAGGCGCGGGCGCGGGAGCACCGTCCGACGCTAGCGCCCCGGATCGGATGTCCAGGCACTAGCAAGTCCGTATTTGTTAAGGACTATTCTAAAATAAATATATTTATGCAGTATGTACATCTAATCTAATAAGTGTGTATCTTTTGCCGCTAAAAGTAATCACGGTTTTGATACCTCTACGTTTTCCTTCGTTTGTCTGAAGGAATATGTCTGCTACCCAGGGATAAATGTCCCAGCTTTACTCAGTGTTTTGCACAGAGCAAGAGATGGAGCCAGAACAGGTTAACCAGCAACATCATCAAGGGAGAAAATGCATACACATATGCCTCTGCTCATCAATCATCATTCATTAGTCAGTTCGATGCTATTTACAACTATGCAAACATAATACATCTCTGTCGTGGAAACGAAAGATGCAAGAACAGGAAAAAGGACAAGCCTTCATCAGCTTAATAATATGCTTGATACATAACATGGGGTTATTTGGCTGTGGTTGCAAACATACTTGGCTGGACCCATTGGCACACTTCTGTAACTAGTGATGCTGGGATGACCATCTCTACAGTCCCATCATCTAAGTGATAAGCATACACATTTGTAATAGACTTCAACCCCTCATCATGCCCGGCCAGATGTACTACTAGTACCAGTGAAGCAAGCGGTGCTACCCATCGCCACTCCATCTGCGGTCTGTTCGTCGCAGGAATCCATGGGGACGCTCCACTGTTTTGGACCAGTAAACGTATAGACTCTCCTCCTGCCTGCATCCTTCACACGGAACGACTGGCCATTGCAAAGAAACCAGCTGGTGTCATCCAATTCCCGGCCATCCATCCGCGACCACTCCATTGCTTCCATGTCCAGCCTAAAGAACTCAGGCTGTCTTTAGTTGTAGGAATTTGGATTTTGGGGCTACTGTAGCACGTTCTTTTTTATTTGGCAAATAGTGTTCAAACATGGACTAATTAGGCTCAAAACGTTCGTCTTGCAATTTCCCACCAAACTGTGCAATTAGTTTTTCTTTTCGTCTACATTTAATGCTCCATGCACGGGCCGCAAACATTCGATGTGACAGGTACTGTAGCAAATTTTTAAAAGTTGGGGTGAAACTAAACAAGGGCTCAAACGCATTCTCCATCGTTTCAGGACGGCGTGATACAAGCACAACTTTCCCGTGGGACGCGACAAGGAAATGGCGGTGGTTCTCTTAGCTCCAGCATTTTAGACAAGGAGGCGTTGCCGGGCTTGGTGTGCTGCCACGGGGGCACTGCCATGCCGTGTCCAGTGCACCACCACCCCTGTGGCGTGACCGGCTGAGGAGGCCGAGGAGGAGGTGCTCGGGTGGGGCACCACCACCCTTTCCGGTGGCACCGCCACCCCAAGGGCGGTGCCCACCTGGACATGGCTGAGAGCGATTGAGTTGGGCGTGGCACCGGCATGTCCGGTGTACACTACCACGGTGAGGGCGGTGCACCGTCGCTGGAAGGGCAGTGCCACCGCCATAATAATCCAGAGTGCAGGGGAAACTAGCATGGTCACCGCCGCGGGCACGGCCGCCCTGAGGGCGGTGCACCATCGTTTTTATCCAAAGACTGGTGCTTTCGGTGGGTTGGCCGGGTGGTCAACGCCACCCCAGAGGCGATGCCACCACCACCTGTCTGGTGCCCACCTGGCCAGTCAAACTAGCCGTTGGGCCAACCATTGGGGGGCACCGCCACCCCTAGGGCGGTGCCACCACCGCTGTGTCCGGTGACCCCGCAGAAGCTGACTCAAAGGGGTAACGGCTATATTTGCTTGTGGGCTTATAAATAGAGGTGGTGGCCGGCCTTGACCACTCTCTTGACACTTCTAACAGCTACATACACCCTTTGAGAGCTGAGCACACCACTCCACTCACTTGCACACTTGATTTCATGATCTTGAGTGAGATTGGAGAGCCTCTAGTTCATTACTTAGTGTTCTAGCATCTTGTGGCACTAGTTGGGCGATTTGGGCTGATGGAGTTCTTGTTACTCTTGGTGTTTGCCGATACCTAGATGACCCGGTGATTGGTGGATCGTCGAGCGGAGGAAGGTGATTGTCTCTGGCTCCGATCATTGTGATTGTGAGGGGTTCTTGTGCCTTCCCCGGCGGAGCGTCAAAGGCAACTCTAGTGGATTGTGCATGGCTTGTGGATCCTCATCTTGTGTTGGTTGTGCAGCACCCGGTTGCGAGTTTGGCGTGTGATGTCAATTAGCGCGTGAACCTCCAAGTGAGTGAATCGCCACAACGGGGACTAGCTTGCCGGCAAGCAAGTGAACCTTAGAGGAAAAATTGATTGTGTCATCATTGTCTCCTTGGTATTCATTGTTATTCATTGATTGATCACTTGCCATGACGGTATATCACTTCTACCCTTCTTCCGCATTACTTTGTATTTACCTTGTGTAGTGCTTGTAGCTAGTGTAGCTCTTTAGTTGTAGTTCTCTAGCTAGTTTTGCCCTCCCTAGGTGTAAATTAGCGACATAGCTCTTGCGTGATATACTAGAGATCATAGAAATTAGAATTGGCTAGGTGGCTTGTAACAAAAGTGTAGCGCTAGCGTAAAATTTGCTTCGCCATCTTATTTACTAATCACTTGTATTAGTGTTGTTGTAGAAATTTTTAATAAGATATTCAGCCCTCTCTAGCCATTAGGACCTTTCAAGTGGTATCGGAGCCGTGGTCACCTTGATTTGAACCTTAACAACCTTCGGTGTAAAAAATGGCTCAAATCAACAACATCAAGAAGCCACCATAATTTAATGGCTCAAATTATCCATATTGAAAGGCGAAGATAACCACCTACATCAAGTCAATCAATAGAAATGTGTGGAAGGTGGTAGAGACCAAGATTGAGGTTGCTAATGAGGAGGCTCCCACCGCTGCCGAAGAAGTACTACTCCAAAACAATAACATTGTTCTTAGTGTCATTCATGATGCATTGGATGAGAGGACTTTTGAGCAAATCAAGAACATTGAGAGGGCTCATAAGGCATGGAGGTTGAGGTACTTGCTACTCTTAAAGGGATTCATGATGGGCAAGGTTGATACTACTCTTTTCATCAAGAAGATTGGCAAGGACTTATTTGTGTTGCAAATCTATGTTGATGACATCATATTTGGATCAACCAATCAAGACTTTTGTGAAGAGTTTGGAAAAATGATGGCTAATGAGTTTGAAATGTCCATAATTGGAGAGTTGAGTTACTTCCTTGGTCTTCAAATCAAGCAATTAAAGAATGGTACATTTGTGAGTCAAGGTAAGTACATCAAAGACATGCTCAAGAGGTTTTGCATGAATGAAGCAAAGGTCATAAGTACACCAATGGGAACAAATGACAATTTGGATAGTGATGCAAGTGGCAACATGGTGGATCAAAAGTTATATCGGTCTATGATTGGAAGCCTACTCTATGTGACCGCATCAAGGCCGGATGTCATGTTTAGTGTGTGCATATGTGAAAGATTTCAAGCCTCACTAAAAGAAAATCATTTGAAGGCTACAAAGAGAATATTGAGGTACTTAAAGCATACACAAAATGTTGGTTTGTGGTATCCCAAATGAGCAAAGTTTGAGCTAGTTGGTTACTCTGACTCGGACTATGAGGGATGCAAGGTTGAAAGAAAAAGCACCTCGGGCACTTGTCAATTGTTGGGAAGATCACTTGTTTCATGGTCATCAATGAAATAAAATAGTGTTGTATTATCAACCGCCGAAGCCAAATACATATCCGCCGATAGTTGGTGTGCACAAATTCTTTGGATGAAGACCACCTTGAATGACTTTGGAATCAAGTTCAAGAAAGTACCATTG